CACATGACTCGTTAAGACAATCAGGAACCAATTACACATCAGCACATCTCAATCACACCAGGGGGAACAAAATATTGGATCCCACAATGTGACGGAGCAATCAAACCTTATCGGGGACAGCGATTTCGAGAACTACATGAAGCGATCAGCTTCTACAAGAATTATGCGCTTAGTGTTGGGTTCGATATCAGACACAGCACCTTGGTGAAGGCACGCGACAAGACGATCCTCTGGAAATACTTAGTGTGCTCGCGAGAGGGATATAAGAAGAATCATGCACGTGGTGAAGGACATGTGATGAGACGTAGAGTGTCCAACCGGGTAGGTTGTAATGCCAGAATCATGATCCGGGTTGATGGATTGAATGGATATATCGTTAAAAAATTTGAGGAGAAACACAGCCACCCGATGACGTCTGAAGGTTGCAGATCGCAAATGAAGATCAATAGAGCAATGAATGCAGGGCATCAATCATTCGTACTGAATTTCATAAAAGCCAATATAGGGCCGGTCAAGTCATACCGTTTGTACAAGGAAGTAGTTGGAGGGTATTCGAATATCGGCGCCACCAGTGTGGAGTTCAAGAACTTCAAACGGGATCTCCTTGCGTACATATCAGGGGCTGATGCACAATTGGTCATCGATAAATTCTATAAGCGCCAAGAAACAAGCCCCGCCTTCTACTTCCACTATGAGCTTGATGATAGCGACTGCCTGCAACGACTTTTTTGGGCTGATCCAACTTCGAGGAGAAACTACTGTTATTTTGGCGATGTTGTATCATTTGACGCGACATACCGTACCAACAGGTGAGCACAAGTTTCATGTGAACAGAATAATTGTGAATTATATAAATTCGGTTCATATTTCATATGATCGGTAATAGGTACAAATTATATACATTTCCACGTTATATACATTTGCACTGACTCAAACTAATTAAAATGTAGGTACAACATGGTTTTTGCACCTTTTACTGGAATAGATAACCACAACAAGTGTGTCACGTTTGCGGCTGCATTAATATCAAAGGAAGACGTCGACTCTTATGCCTGGGTGTTCGAGAATTTTAAAAAAGCCATGATTCACGAGCCTCGATACATTATAACTGACCAAGATCCCTCGATCGGCATTGCATTTCCTAAAGTGTTCAAGACCTGCAAACACCGCTTCTGTATGTGGCACATAATGGCTAAATTGTGCGACAAGGTGGGCCATTCTTTGAATAATGATGATGATTTTAAACGAAAGCTTAATGGGATTGTCTGGGATCGAAATATAAATCCTGATGAGTTCGAAGAAAAATGGGCTGCAATAATGAAAGAATATGCGTTGGATACGCACAATTGGTTTAAAGACCTGTTCGCAAAAAGAGAATATTGGATCCCAGCCTTCTTCAGGGATGTCGAAATGGGCGGTTTAATGAGGACGACATCGAGATCGGAGAGCGAGAACCATTGGTTCGGCCATTTCACGAGCAGTCATTCTAGCTTAGTAGAGTTTTTACTACACTTTGACAGTGCCATGGACGCACAACGGAACACGTCAATTAAGCTGCAGAATGACAGTGAGTCGCAAATGGCAAAATTGAAGACGCCGTTGTCGATTGAAAAGCATGCGATGTCTATTTACACGACGACGTCTTTCTACCTTGTGCAGGATGAGATATGTGCAGCATGTTTCAGTTGTCGTGTAATGAATGTTTATGAGAGAGATGGGCTTATGGAATTCGCGATCAAGGACACCAATGGTAAGATGTTCACAGTCATTCATGATGTTGCTCTAACTACGTCTTCATGTTCGTGTAAACACTTTGAAATGTACGGATGGCTGTGTAGACACGTGTTCATTGTGCTTAAGGACCTTAACTTTAAATTTATTCCATCGGCGCATATCGTGTCAAGATGGACGAGGCAGCCTGCTATTAATCCAATTTTCGATATTATTGATGGTGCTGATACACAATGTGCTCGAGTTGATGATACGAAGCTCATGGTGAACAAGTTGTGGTCCGATATACATGCATGCATGGGGTTGGCCGAGCCACATATTGATCGTCTTATTGAATTTTCCAAGATAATCGAAGACTACAAGAATAAGATGTTGTCTGTTCACGGAATGGATACAACGTCCATTGGAAAAAAACAACAACTGGAATCATTTGTTGGGATGGCAGCTCCTCGAGAGATAAACGTTCACCCCCCAACACGTTCCAACAACAAAGGCGGCGGGAAAAGATTAAAGAGCGCGAAGGAAAATGCAGTCGAAGGATCACAAAAGAAGAGAAGGACTTGCAAGACATGCGGTGAAATAGCGGGACATAATACACGCACATGCCCCAAGAAACGTCAATTGTGCAGCTCAGCCGACAATGAGGTAAATGCGAAAAACGAGTTGAAGCAATTGTTTAGTCGATATTGAAATTAGTGTTTCATTATCATACATTTTGCATTTTGCATACCACCGTAGGAGCATTTGTACACACACAGCCACAAAA